TGAACACTTGATATTTTCTGCTCCTACCACCCCTATTCTTTTAGTATGTGTGTATATATATCTAACTTTATTTTAAAAGTTCATTACACAAAGAGGGGTAATGCACAACCTGAAGCCCAAGTGATACCCCTGGAGCCCGACCAGTTGTGTAACCAGAGCCTGACCAGTTGTGTAACCGGAGCCTGACCAGTTGTGTAACCGGACCCCGACCCGTTGTGTAACCACAAGCCTAGCATGAATTAATCAAACAAACAACATCCGAAGCACAAACATACACGAACTGAAGTCTGACTATGCACAACCCAAGCCCAAGTAATACCCCCAAAGCCCGACCAGTTATGTAACCAGAGCCCGACCAGTTGTGTAACCAAAGCTCGACCAGTTGTGTAACCGGACCCCAACCAGTTGTGTAACCGTAAGCCTAGCAAGTATACATCTCATCCAACCCCCACAAAGCTAAACAGTCCCAGACCACAACCAAACTCCATTCTTAGCTCGACCAAACAAAAATCTTCTTAGCCCTACCTCTCCTTAGCCCTACCTAAAACCCTCCACTTGCCCTAGACACCAACTCTTGAGCCATAGCGAACAATTGTACTATATACAAAAAAAGAAACCCGGATTTCTAGCAAACATATAAACATAGAGCCTTACCAAACAAACCTGGAGCACTAGTACACTAACAACCGCTGAAGCACAACCATGTACGAACCGAAGCCCGACCATGCACAACCCAAAGCCCAAGTGACACCCCCGGAGCCCGACCAGTTATTTAACCGGAGCCCGACCAGTTGTGTAACCGGAGCCCGACCAGTTGTGTAACCGGAGCCCGACCAGTTATTTAACCGGAGCCCGACCAGCTATTTAACCAGAGCCCGACCAGTTGTGTAACCGGAGCCCAACCAGTTGTGTAACCGGACCCCGACCAGTTATGTAACCGCAAGCCTAGCATGAACGAACCAAACAACCTCTGAATCACAACCATTCATGAACCAAAGCCCGACCATGCACAACCCGAAGCCCAAGTGACACCTCCGGAGCCCGACCAGTTATATAACCGGAGCCCGACCAGTTGTGTAACCGAAGCTCGACCAGTTGTGTAACCGGACCCCGACCAGTTGTGTAACCGTAAGCCTAGCAAGTATACATCTCATCCAACCCCCACAAAGCTAAACAGTCCCAGAGCACAACCAAACTCCATTCTTAGCTCGACCAAACAAAAACCTCCTTAGCCCTACCTCTCCTTAGCCCTACCTAAAACCCTCCACTTGCCCTAGACACCAACTCTTGAGCCATAGCAAACAATTGTACTATATACAAAAAAAGAAACCCGCATTTCTAGCAAACATATAAACATAGAGCCTTAGCAAACAAACCTGGAGCACTAGTACACTAACAACCGCTGAAGCACAACCATGTAAGAACTGAAGCCCGACCATGCACAACCCAAAGCCCAAGTGACACCCCCGGAGCCCGACCAGTTATTTAACCGGAGCCCGACCAGTTATTTAACCGGAGCCCGACTAGTTATTTAACCGGAGCCCGACCAGTTGTGTAACCGGAGCCCGACCAGTTGTGTAACCGGACCCCGACCAGTTGTGTAACCACAAGCCTAGCATGAACGAACCAAACAACCTCTGGATCACAACCATGAATGAACCAAAGCCCGACCATGCACAACCCGAAGCCCAAGTGACACCTCCGGAGCCCGCCCAGTTATATAACCGGAGCCCGACCAGTTGTGTAACCGAAGCTCGACCAGTTGTGTAACCGGACCCCGGCCAGTTGTGTAACTGCAAGCCTAGCATGAACGAACCAAACAACCTCTGGATCACAACCATGCATGAACCAAAGCCCGACTATGCACAACCCGAAGCCCAAGTGACACCTCCGGAGCCCGACCAGTTATATAACCGGAGCCCGACCAGTTGTGTAACCGAAGCTCGACCAGTTGTGTAACCGGACCCCGACCAGTTGTGTAACCGTAAGCCTAGCAAGTGTACATCTCATCCAACCCCCACAAAGCTAAACAATCCTAGAGCACAACCAAACTCCATTCTTAGCTCAACCAAACAAAAATCTCCTTAGCCCTACCTCTCCTTAGCCCTACCTAAAACCCTCCACTTGCCCTAGACACCAACTCTTGAGCCATAGCAAACAATTGTACTATATACAAAAAAAGAAACCCGGATTTCTAGCAAACATATAAACATAGAGCCTTAGCAAACAAACCTGGAGCACTAGTACACTAACAACCACTGAAGCACAACCATGTACGAACCGAAGCCCGACCATGCGCAACCCAAAGCCCAAGTGACACCCCCGGAGCCCGACCAGTTATTTAACCGGAGCCCGACCAGTTATTTAACCGGAGCCTGACCAGTTGTGTAACCGGAGCCCAACCAGTTATTTAACCGGAGCCCGACCAGCTATTTAACCGGAGCCCGACCAGTTGTGTAACCGGAGCCCAACCAGTTGTGTAACCGGACCCCGACCAGTTGTGTAACCGCAAGCCTAGCATGAACGAACCAAACAACCTCTGGATCACAACCATGAATGAACCAAAGCCCGACCATGCACAACCTGAAGCCCAAGTGACACCTCCGGAGCCCGACCAGTTATATAACCGGAGCCCGACCAGTTGTGTAACCGAAGCTCGACCAGTTGTGTAACCGGACCCCGGTCAGTTGTGTAACCGCAAGCCTAGCATGAACGAACCAAACAACCTCTGGATCACAACCATGCATGAACCAAAGCCCGACTATGCACAACCCGAAGCCCAAGTGACACCTCCGGAGCCCGACCAGTTATATAACCGGAGCACGACCAGTTGTGTAACCGAAGCTCGACCAGTTGTGTAACCGGACCCCGGCCAGTTGTGTAACCGCAAGACTAGCATGAACGAACCAAACAACCTCTGGATCACAACCATCATGAACCAAAGCCCGACTATGCACAACCCGAAGCCCAAGTGACACCTCCGGAGCCCGACCAGTTATATAACCGGAGCCCGACCAGTTGTGTAACCGAAGCTCGACCAGTTGTGTAACCGGACCCCGGCCAGTTGTGTAACCGCAAGCCTAGCATGAACGAACCAAACAACCTCTGGATCACATCCATGCATGAACCAAAGTCCGACTATGCACAACCCGAAGCCCAAGTGACACCTCCGGAGCCCGACCAGTTATATAACCGGAGCCCGACCAGTTGTGTAACCGAAGCTCGACCAGTTGTGTAACCGGACCCCGACCAGTTGTGTAACTGGACCCCGACCAGTTGTGTAACCGGACCCCGACCAGTTGTGTAACCGGACCCCGACCAGTTGTGTAACCGTAAGCCTAGCAAGTATACATCTCATCCAACCCCCACAAAGCTTAACAATCCTAGAGCACAACCAAACTCCATTCTTAGCTCGACCAAACAAAAATCTCCTTAGCCCTACCTCTCCTTAGCCCTACCTAAAACCCTCCACTTGCCCTAGACACCAACTCTTGAGCCATAGCAAACAATTGTACTATATACAAAAAAAGAAACCCGGATTTCTAGCAAACATATAAACATAGAGCCTTAGCAAACAAACCTGGAGCACTAGTACACTAACAACCACTGAAGCACAACCATGTACGAACCGAAGCCCGACCATGCACAACCCAAAGCCCAAGTGACACCCCCGGAGCCCGACCAGTTATTTAACCGGAGCCCGACCAGTTGTGTAACCGGAGCCCGACCAGTTATTTAACCGGAGCCCGACCAGCTATTTAACCGGAGCCCGACCAGTTGTGTAACCGGAGCCCAACCAGTTGTGTAACCGGACCCCAACCAGTTGTGTAACCGCAAGCCTAGCATGAACGAACCAAACAACCTCTGGATCACAACCATCATGAACCAAAGCCCGACTATGCACAACCCGAAGCCCAAGTGACACCTCCGGAGCCCGACCAGTTATATAACCGGAGCCCGACCAGTTGTGTAACCGAAGCTCGACCAGTTGTGTAACCGGACCCCGGCCAGTTGTGTAACCGCAAGCCTAGCATGAACGAACCAAACAACCTCTGGATCACATCCATGCATGAACCAAAGCCCGACTATGCACAACCCGAAGCCCAAGTGACACCTCCGGAGCCCGACCAGTTATATAACCGGAGCCCGACCAGTTGTGTAACCGAAGCTCGACCAGTTGTGTAACCGGACCCCGACCAGTTGTGTAACCGGACCCCGACCAGTTGTGTAACCGGAACCCGACCAGTTGTGTAACCGTAAGCCTAGCAAGTATACATCTCATCCAACCCCCACAAAGCTTAACAATCCTAGAGCACAACCAAACTCCATTCTTAGCTCGACCAAACAAAAATCTCCTTAGCCCTACCTCTCCTTAGCCCTACCTAAAACCCTCCACTTGCCCTAGACACCAACTCTTGAGCCATAGCAAACAATTGTACTATATACAAAAAAAGAAACCCGGATTTCTAGCAAACATATAAACATAGAGCCTTAGCAAACAAACCTGGAGCACTAGTACACTAACAACCACTGAAGCACAACTATGTACGAACCGAAGCCTGACCATGC